TGTTACATCAACTGGAACAAATTTCTTAACCAGTCATCCCTGGGCAAAGGGTGAGGCAAATAGGTCTTGCTGCTTCTGAGCTGGGTGACCTTGAGCATGTCATTTGACCTCTCAGCCAGGGTTGCTCATCTGTGACGGGGATCATAGTCGAGCCTCCTTAGGAATGCTGGTGAGGATGGAAATGAGATCACCATGTGCACTGGTCCTGCCTGGTGAATGGAAGGAGTGGTTGTAAGCGGCAGCTTCCGCTCATGTCAAGGGGCAGGGCTGGCCACCACCTGGAGTGAGTAGGAGGAGATTCTAGGATCTTCTCCATCTCAAACACGGCCTCTGAGGAGCTTAGGTTAAAGGTACGTAGGGCCACCAGTTCAGAGGGCAAGGCTGAACAACAGGCAGGAAGGTTCTCAGTCAAAGTCTCCAATAACTTTGTGGGGCCACCTTAAGAGAAATTGGTTTGGAGTTTCAATTCTGAAGACTGGGCACGTCCTACCCTCTTCCTAACAGAAGGAACAAATGAGAACTAATTAGTAAACGTGGCTGTCAAACGTGGTCGGTGTTGTTGTTAACTTAATATGTTTGTTTAAAAGGGGAGGCAGCCTACTCTCGCCTGGGTGTGTGAGCTGCCAGCCAGCCAGGTTTGATGGGAAACCCTGTAGATTGTTTCCACATGCGACTTTACAGCAGAAATAATTAGTTGCAGTGGTGGAAGGCCTTGGAGGCAAGGACCGAGGGGTTCGGATGATGGATTTTGCAGTCCTTCATATAAAGCGCAGAGGCAGTCCCTCAGGGAAGTTTTGTACCAGGGAGAGGGCGCTCTGGGCCAGCAGGCCGGGTGAGCAAAGGTGTGGGGCGGGTGGGGGTAGAAGACGGTGCGGAAAGGCTTGCTGGTAATGAACAACCTGAGTTTTCTAAAATGTGTTGGCGTGTGAGGGTCGGCAGACGGCATCTCTTCTCTGAACGCCACTTTAGTTGACTCTGGCTTTGGCTTTATTTATCTACTTCACTGCTCCTTCTTTCTGTATGCTGGGTTCCCAAACATCTTAGTCCTGTCTCCCAAGGCAGAATGGGGTAGCGGCCGAAAGCAAGGGCTCTGGAACCAGACTGCTTGGATTTAAATCCTGGCTCCCTTACTTACTAGCTGTGTGACTTTGGGCAAGTTACTTAACCTCTCTGTGTCTCAATTTCTTTCATCTTTGGAATGGGCGTGATGATATTTTATCAACTTGATTGTGGGGACTGAATAAGTTAACATTTGCAAAGCTTTTAGACCAATGCCTACCTAGCACATGGTAAATGCTACATAAAGGCTAGTTAAACAAATGAATGGGTTCTCATTGCCCTGATCCAGCAGCAGAGTGGGCTGCTTTAGGTTGCCCGTATATTTATATTATTTCCTCTCCCCCAAGCCGTTTCAACACACAGTCTAAAAACAGTACGTTTTCCATGCTTTTGACGTTTCATTGCATGGCTCTTTCTGACCCCTTGGCAGCTTGCAAGCTACCTTACCGTGAGCCCACCATGACTCTGTGCACCAATTTTCCTCATTGGGATCCCCGAGTCTTGCCAGCTGCTGTGTCCTTTGTCCTTTGCAAGGTGATTCCTCATCAGGGAGGGTGCACCCGGCCTCTGTCTACACCCACCCTCCCTGTGCATCTGCCTTCCAGGGTTGGGCATTGCCTTGAACCCAGCAGAGCACTGTTCTTGTGGCATGGGAGACACGGGTGTGTTGGGGCACTGCAGTGTCCATTTTGGGTTCTGTCTGGAGTCCTCAGAGTACCGTGGATAACTGCCGCGCTGGTTTGCCATGGGGCCAGGCCAGAGTCTTGTATGCATCAATGAAGGATATTTTATTGACCGTCTGCTCGGTTTTTGCCTACTTTGTTTGGTGTGCCTAACTCAATATTTTCAGTAGTAAAGATAGAACACTGTGGAAAAGAATGCTGGAAAATAAAAGCTAGTATAAACCACAAATATAGATAAGTAATCAGCAACTATTTCTCCCTGAAACTGAGCAGACTGTGTGGTTAAATGTGTGTATAGGCGTGTTGTGTGTCTATTGAGAACCTTTAAAATGTTCACGTCTTTCAAAATAATATCACCTCTGGGAAACCATCCTCAGGAAACGCTAGGAAATTTACAAAATGTTTTATGCACAAAGATGTTCTTCATGTAGTTATTTATAAAAGGACAAATTGCAAATAGCCAAAATGTCCAGCATTTGGGGTAAGGTGATATAAAACTATGGTTATACCAGTTCCAGTGGTTTTCAAATTTGTGTAGCTTTATGAGTTGCTTGAGAAACCTATTAGGATGAGGATTCCCAGCCTCCACCCCTAGAGATTGATTTAATGGGTCTGGGATAAGATCCAGAAATCTGCATTTTTAACATACCCCATATAATTCTGAGGCAGATGTTCTGCAGTTCACATTTGAGAAAACTGATCAACGTAATGGGATATTTTGCAGTTATTTAAAATGATGTTTATAGAGAGATTGTAATAACATGGAGGAATGCTTTAAAATAAAAAAGTATGTAAGATTGTATATATAACTCTGCATCCAATTATGAAATAAAGCTATGTAAAACAAAGCAAAAATGTATAAAAATGTAAACAGAGGCAGTCTCAGGGTGGTAGGGTTATGGCGATGTTCTTCTTTTTTCGTTTTTTATATTTTCCAAAATTTCTAAAACTGAGTATTATTTTTATCATAAACCCCGTCAAACCTATATGTTTAAAACAGAAGTTGTTCTTTTTGCAACAAATGAAGAGGCTCCCCATTTTGGGGGATTCATACTCTGCGGGGTTTCATTTTGTCTGTAAACAGACCAAGGACCCTGAAGCAAAGCAATGCTGGGTTCTTCATCCTCTGAGGGGCCCAGACCCTTCTTGGAAGCGCTCACCGCCAGGCTTCAGCTACAGATGTTAATAAACTTCTAGAGTTATCCAGCACACATTTGTTCCCCCCCACCCCCCAAGTCATTGTTAAGAGCCTCCATCTAGGGGCGCCTGGGTGGCTCAGATGGCTAAATGTCTGCCTTCGGCTCAGGTCATGATCCCAGGGTCCTGGGATCGAGCCCCATGTCCAGCTCCTGGCTCAGTGGGGCCTTGCTTCTCCCTCTCCCTCTGCCTCTCCCCCTGCTCATTCTCTCTCTCTCTCTGTATCTCTGTGTCTCGAATGAATAAATAAAATCTTTAAAAAAAAAAAGAGCTTCCATCTAAAGAATTCTTTTTTTTTTTTTTTTAAAGATTTTATTTATTTATTTGACAGAGAGAGACACAGTGAGAGAGGGAATACAAGCAGGGGGAGTGGGAGAGCGAGAAGCAGGCTTCCCGCGGAGCAGGGAGCCCGATGCGGGGCTCGATCCCAGGACCCTGGGATCATGACCTGAGCTGAAGGCAGATGCTTAACGACTGAGCCACCCAGGTGCCCCCATCTAAAGAATTCTTAGCATGGGATGGTACGGCGGGCTATTTTGGGGAGCTGGACCATTTCAGTGAAGGTGTCTTGAGAAAATTTTCGATGAGATTGCGGTTTGTGCAGGATGGTGACGTCCTCTCTCAGGGAGGTGGAGATAGAGAAAGCACAGCTGTTTTCTGAGAGATGCATGCATCAGTGTGCTAACGCTTCAGTAAGGAAGTACCACAGACCAGGCGGCTTAAACCGTAGAAATTTCTTGTCTTCGTCCTGAGGTTAGAAGTCCGAGATTGAGGGTCAGCAGGGTTGCTTCCTTCTGAGGGCCCCAGGGAAGGATCTGTTCTGGGCCTTTCTCCTGGGCTTATAGATGTCTGGGTCATCCCCCCCTCCCCCTCCTCACCCCCCCCCCATCTTCACATCCAGCTCCTTTCGGGAGCTTTCTTCCGTTCATGTTTGTGTTCAAATTCCCTCTTCTTAGAAGGACACCAATCATATTGGATTAGAATCTACTCTCATGACCTCATTTTAATTGAATTACCTCTTTAAAGACCCTATCTCCAAATATGGTCACATTTTGAGGTGGGGGGCCTGCTTACCAGAACTTCAATATATGAATTTGAGGCTGGGGAGACACACGGTTCAGCCCAGAGGAAAGTTTTACAGAGCTAACAGATGGTAGAAGGCAGACTTCATTTCAAGAGCCCAAATGGGTCCCCGACAAGTCAGATTGAACCGTTGGAATGTGTCCTGTAGCTTGAAAATGGAAAGTTGGAGGCAATGTGAGCTGTTTTTTTACTGAGCGCCGGCCGGAGAGAGGCCGCTTGGGCCCGGGCTTGCCACATGTCTGGTGCTGGTGATAGGTATGTGCCCCAGCTTAACCTGCTTCTCTCCCTGTCCGGTTGTTGGACTTTCCAGTCGTGTGACGCGGGGGGAATTGGTGCAGGAGCTTCTCCAAGCCTCCCCTGTAGAAACGGGAATTAAAAATTCCTGTCCTGTCCTATCTCCCAGGCTGTCGGAGATAAGGTAAGGAAGGTGCTGTATACACTGCGAAGCTCGTTCTGTCCCTCCCGCCCCCCCCCCGGCAGGCAGTGCAGGGGCCATCCTGTCTCCCTGGCAGCCGGTGGGCACGAGTCTGTGTCTGAAGGCTTTGGGTTCACTCGTGCTCAGAAACAGCGTTCCAGAAGGTGAGGGAGCCTTGACTCTGTGCCGTACGTTTGTTGATGAAGCACCATCATAAGGGCCCTAGTCAAAGGCCTCTGGACATTGTTATAAATAAATAAATAAATAAAACCACCTTATTATGAAGGTCACATATGTTCCTTACATGAACATTTATAAATTGGATATAGAAAAACAACAAATAAAAGCTCCCCCCATTTCCTACCATTCTACCTCCTTCCTACCATCCGGAGACACGCCCTCGGCCCCTGCCCCCATGACTTAATATCTTCCTGTGTTTCCTATGCTTATACAAATATGTGTATACATACTTTTAAAAAAATGATAATTTGGTTCGTATTGTTTGAAAACGTGTGTTTCCAACTTAATGACTAACTGTGGCCTTCTTTTCCATGTCTTCTCAGGGAGATGGATCTTGAAACTTAGTGCTGCATAGTATACCATAAAATGGATATATTCCTTCATTAGTGGACATTTAAGTTATTTCCAGTTTTAAAAAACATGATAAAAACGACTGCGGTGAGTACCTGTGAGCACTTGTGTGAATGGACCTCTGTAGGATGAAATTCTGGACATGAAGTAACTGACTCAAAGGGGATATTTACACATTTAAAACATCCATAAGTTTTGTAAATTGCTCTACAAAAAAAAAAAAAAGATTGTATCAATTTACACTTTCTCCAACAGTTTCTGAGCAACTGTATTTCCCCATATTCTTGCCAACAATGGACGTTATGTTCTTTTTTTGCTGTGCATTCTCTAGAATGTCAAGGATGCCTATTTTTTTGAGACTGTGTTCTTTCAATATCTTCCCAGAGGTACTCAAAATCATGATCACAAGGCCTACTGGAGAGAAGCAGCTGGGTCCAAGACCACTAGGATTTGTCAACAATTTATTTCTCAAGGAGCCCTCTGAGCACTGGGAGCTTATCTGAGGGGATTTTCTACCTGAACCCAGTTATTGCACAGACCCACAGAGAAGCTCATGTCTTGTCTTTCTTTTCATGTGAGAGAGGAGAAAAGAAATGAAGGTGAGTTTGAGCATCCAACCGGACCCACTGACCTTGAAACAGTTCTCTAGCTATCTGTCTATCTCATCTGATTGGTTTTTCTGCTTCCCTAAATAGTGCTTATAAGGGGTGCCCCTATGAAACGCTTAGTCAATCAACTCCTTATCAGCAGGGAAGGCTGGCCTTGCCTAAGCTCATTCACCCCTGATCTTGTGAGGACACAGCAGACGCTGGCTTCTGCCCAACCCAGGAGGCAGGCCGAGTGCCTCTTAGGGTACCAGTGAGCCTGAGGCCCCAAAGCAATGAGAAAAAAAAAATGCAGCTCTGATAAAGTTATGCAGAATATTGTGTTTGGAAACACATAGAAAGAAGCGATTTTTATTTCTGAATAGAGGCAAGTTTTTCATAGTGTTTTTATCTCGAATCCCACCGCAGATGGTGCCATATGTTTAGGGCTTAAGAATCAGTCTGAATCGATTCCTCTGGCATTTTCTCCCACCCCCAAGTCATGGCAGATTAAGCGTGCTCTGAGGCTCTGGGATTTTCCAGTCTTTCATGGAGGCCCTGCCTGCTGGGATTCTTGAGATGGGGCTTCATTTCAGTGATGTGTTCAGAATCACTACATCACAGGGCAGTGGTGGGGATTTCACTAAAAAGCATGTGAAGGCACCTGACAGGGTCGGTACTCAAGCGATGTTAATTTCCTCCCCTCGTTAGAAGCTTGTTCCATCTGAATCATGGGATTGACAGGGCGGGACTTTAAAGACTTTAAGAAGTCCTTTATTGCTTTAGACACAAAGTTCTAGGAAAAAAAAAAGGGAGAGGTGTGAAATTGGCATTTTGCTACCTTTCGTTGAGGCTATAGCCTATACTGGGCCCACCGTAGGGTCCTCATACGTAGTTTTTCATTGAGTTGAGTTGAATTGAATCGAATCATGCTTGTCTTCTCTCTATCCAAGGTGAAATGTGTGTGATTCACGGAGCAAAAGCTTTCCTCCTTCCTAGAGCTTCTTAATTTCTGCATTTTCATGACCTATGGAAGACTTATCTTTCATGTTGGAGGGAGGGAAGTCAAACTGTGCATTTCCACAATGTGCTAAGCATGGTGCTTCATGTTATCTTCCCAACAGCTCTAGGAGTATTGTTATTTTCTAACAGAAGAGCCAGAGTTCCAGGCATTTCTTTCCAGGGTCACATAGGTGATCAGAGGCAGGGCCAGGACTCAATGGCAGGTCCGCTGGACCGCATTTCGCTCACCGCCTCCTTGGCATCAGGCTGGCCGGAGTGAGTCCATGTCAGGAATGTCAGCCCATTGTTGAGTTTTAGGTCCAAGTATACAGAGAACCCCAGCTCCCATGCCTTACCGGTTAGCTGGAATGTCAGGTGCCTCAGAAGCACCACAGCTGTGGGATAAAGCCGTGTCATCCAGGGCCCAGGAGCTGGGCACAGGGGGACAGAGAGGACTCCGTAGGGGTCTTGGTGAGGCGAGTTTGCAGCCTCCTCCACATCCCAGGCCTTTCAGTGTGTCCTGATCAAGACCCTTCCGTAGCCCCTTTCTAAGGAGAGACTCACCCCTTCACTAAGCCCCAAGGGACCACAGTGGCCACTTAGAACCCATCCATTCATGTGTTCTGTCATTCATTCCTTCGTCTAGTGACTGTTCATTGAAGCCCCTCCTGCCCCCACCCCCACCCCATCACTCTGGGTGCTGGGGATAAAGCAGTAACAAAGGAAGACACTCTCCTTGCTTTCCAGACACTAACGGGGCAGCAGTGAGATAGCTAAAGTCAACAGATACAGAGGAAATGCATGGATCACACTTTTATAAGTGTGACAAGGAGAAGAAAGGGCCCAGAAATCTAGAAATAACATTTACACTGAGACCTAAAGGGTGAGCTGAATTTGGCCAGGCAAAGGGGTGGACAGAGCATTTATATAAACCCACCAGGCTTGTTTTAGTGCTTTATAAATACTTACTTAATCCTCCTAACAATCCTATGAATGGGTGCTATTATTATCCTCATTTTACAGATGAAGAGCCTCAGGCACAGAGAGGTTAAATGACTTGTCCAAGGTCACCCACCTAGGAAAGATCAGAGCCAGGGTGGATGCTCATCAGCACGTGGATGGTTCTCAAAACAGGGATGGGATGGGGTCTCACTGGGTGTAAGCACAGCCCTAGAGAAAGAGAAGACTTAGATGGAGTGTGGAGTTAAGGAAGACCTAGCCCAGTGGACTGAAAACAGTAGTTAGGAAGTTGGGATCAGAGGCAGGCAGGTGGGGGGCATGGAAGGAAGTATTTCTGTGAGGAGGGAGCCTTTACCTGGCCAAATGCTGCTGACCGGTGGGGGGATGGGGACTGAGAAGTAGCTGGTAGGTACCGTTGTAACCCTTGGCAAGAGGAGAATGGTGGGAGCAAAGCCCAATGGTAAAGGTTCAAGAAAAAAGGGGAGGAGAGGAGGTAGTGACCATGAAAATCAATAATTATTTAGAGGCATTTTACTCTAAAAGGAAGATGACAAATAGGGTGGTCCTCCAAGAGAGTCCTAGTCCCCAAAGCTCTTTTTTCTTTTTCTAAGATGGAGGTAGTGTAACACGTGTGTGCATGGGGCCGGGCTAGCGCACCCAGTAAACGGTACCGCTGCTGGGGAACGCGGGGGAGATGGAGTCCAGGCAGAGCGCAGGGCTTGCCCTGGGGTCTCTGCAGGTGGGCTGACAGCCACTGCCCCCTGCAGCCTTCCTGAGAGTCTACGGCAGCTGCCCTCGGAACAGCATGGTTCTGTCCCTGGGTGTCACCAGTCTTTAGCTGATGGTGCAGGCTGAGGGGAGAAGAGCTGATGGTGGGGGTGAGGGTCAGCCTAGGCTGTATGCTTGCGGAGCTGGGAGCTGAGTGAGTAGGAGAGCGTTAGTTGCACCAACTAAGGGGAGTTTCCTTGAAGACTTGTGTGGCCCTTGCTTTTCAGGGGCCCTGGAAATCCCTGCTGTCATGTGATGGACTTGGGGGACACATAGCATCAGCTTATTGGACCAACAAGATAGCAGTGAACCAACAAGATAGCCGTGAACCAATTCCAGCAAGTTTTACTGTAGAGTTTCTAATGCATAAAATTGGCCAATCGGTGCCCTGGGGTGATGAACTCTTCTTCAGGGTCTGAACTTAAGAAATGCCTAGCCCACAGGAAGCCCTGCGGGTTCCATCCCAGCACCCCAGCGTATACCTTCTCAGCCTGGCTGCGTCTGACAGAGAAATACACAAGACAAAAAGAGGGGAGGAACTACATTGGGAGAGCTTTGAATGCAAAATCAGGGGATTCCCCATTAGGGAAAAATTCCTCTGGTTAAAAAAAAAAAAAAAAGAATTGGGTAAATGAGGCAGAAACACGGCACCGTAAGACACCCGGCACACCACAGGCCTGCTTACTTCATTAACCACTTTCTCATGTTTAAAAAAAAAAAAAAAAAAGTCTCAAAAATAATACATAGGTAGATAGCCCCCGCTCTCTGCCCAGGAGAACGTGTGTCAATTTCTCTTTTCCCCGATTTATTGTAGGTTGTATTGTAAGTCGTCTTCCTACAAAGTAATAAAATGTAAATGTGGGTTTTAGGTATGCTAATGTTTCCGGCTGGCTGAGCAAGAATTCCCAGCCAGTTACGGGGCGAGGGGCCTACAAGGAAGCTGTGGGAACCGAGTGGGAGGTGGGGAGTAGAAGGGAAAACAGAAGTTCCCCATTGTTTCAGTTTGAGAAAACCAGGATTTAGGAAACGGTGTGATTTGATGTGAGCAGGAGACATCAGAAGGGAATATATCCATTAACCATCCAGAGGCAAGTTGGCTTTCAAAGGGCTGAAAGCAGTGAGCACAGCCCCTTCGGAAAGTCTCTCCAACCACACAGTAGGAGAAAAGGAGGAAGGACCTGCTTCACCTCTGGGCAGATGCTGGTGCTCTGCCTCTGGGAGGCTGAGCTTGACTCCTCCTGAAGCCCACCTCTGCGGAACCGGGCCGAAAGGGGCCCTCCAGGTCACTGGGATAAGGTCCCATGATTGCCCCAGCAGAACGTTGGGAGGCCTTCCGTGGGCTCATTTTCTTTTTTTGTTTTAAGTTTTAATTTTAATTCCAGTTAACATCCGGTGTTCTATCAGTTTCAGGTGTACACTAGAGTGATCATGAACTCATTTTCTTTCAAATCAGTCCTCCAGCTTATAGTGGAAATGGGTGGTGGGGGAGGATTCATGTACAGAAACTGGTTAAATCCACGTTGATTTGGTAAACTAAGAAGTACCTGTAGCTCCAGGGTGGAATCCATCTGGAAAGACGGCACAAAAGCACGTGACTTGGGTTTCTCATTTCTGAATGGAAAATCCAACATTTACTATAATTTGAAGGCAGGCTGGGCCCCTCAGGGACTCCAGGCCAGCTGGGGAGACCCCAGGATGGAGGCGCAGAGGGCCGGCGAGGGGTGTGTGAGGATGCTTGGGGGCTGCTTAGGGGGCCAGACTGTAAAGAGAGGTTGGAAATCTACGATTGGCGAGCTGGAATTTAATAATAGCTGAGAGCTTCCGAGAGCTTCAGGGAACGTGATCTGATTCAAAGAGGTCTTGAGGCAAGTAGAGAGGCTGAAGCAGGGGGAGTCTGAGAGGGAGCTTCAAACTCTGTTTCAGAGATAGTGGGCCGGAGGGACCGATGCTGGGGAAGGGTCGTCCAATTGGTGGAGAGCCGCAGAGAGGACAAGGAGTAGTTATCAGGTGAGGTGAGTTAAATGCGGATATAGGCTGGGCAGCAACATGTGCATTTATAACTGTTGCCAGTTCCTGAGGGCCTACTATGTGCTTCCAGACTGTGGCCTCCCCATGTATCCCCAGAACCTAGCACAGTGCCCATACCTAGATGACACTCATTCATTATTTGTCTGATGAATGCATGGATGAAGAAATAATAACAACTAAAATGTCTTGAAGTCACTGTGGAAAACAGAGCGGTGGGTCCTCCAGAAAAGTAAACATGAAGTTACCATATGATCCAG